ACACCCAAAGGCGGACGAAAATGCGCCGGAAAGGCCTCCATCAGCCTATGTGCTTTTTTCCAACAGTAAGTCACCCATTGGAAAGCGCCTGTCCCGCGTCAGGAAGACAACTAACCCGTTTACCCCTTTCAAGAGATGCGCGAGGACCTCAAGGGCCGTAACCTCTCATTCACCGAGATTGCCAAGTTAGTTGGCGAGAACTGGCAAAATTTGACGCCGGCTGAGAAGGAGCCTTACGAATCCAAAGCGCAGGCTTACAAGGAAAAGTATCACGCCGAACTTGCCGAGTATAAGAAGACGCCTCAATATCAAAAGTACATGCAGTACTTGGCGGACTTTAAGGCGAAGCATTCTCTACCATCTCAAGGTACGTATGATGCGACCTTGCTATTCAACTGGGTCAGCCAGAGTCTAAACATGCCACAGACAACGATTCGTCGAAGCGAGTGAAGCTCTCGGAATCTGGTGGTCCCAGTAGCGCTGCTGCCACGCCCACCAGAACATGTCGGAGTCACAGTGGCGGCAGTGACAGTATTCACGGAAGCGAACCACCGCCATCCAGGGAACAGAGGATAAGCTCTATTGTTTCCACCACGGATTCTCATCAATCGGCCGCACTGAGCCCAGGGTCATACCATGACGACTGCATGCAATCGCCACGTACGATCCACGCGGATCGACGGTCTTCGGAACAACGATCACCCACGGCTTTCAACACCAATGCCAGGAATTACCCATTACCCAGTCGAACAGAGACTACCCGACCGGATGAACATCGTCAGGAACAACCGCTAAGCACACCTCAGTCTCAACAAAACCTACCATCCTTCTCCGATGTTTTTGATAGCCACAGATTTCTGCCCAGCGGATCACAACAGACAAACGATACAAGCAGCTACTTCCCAAGAGGAAGTCTCGCCAATAGCCCTGGTCCCCCACCTGGCTTGGTTGGCGGTGATCGGAGATATCCGCCTACGTTGAAGAAGGAGCAGTCCTCGGCGGGTAGCATATCCTCGGCCTCCACGGCCTCGTCCTTTGGCTATCCAAGGACCCCTACTGACGGTCCATTGCCGATACAGGCTTTGCTCTCGTCCAGCTCCGCCCACTCCTATGAGGCAGGCCAACCGCACCATTCGTACCCAACGGGTCCCTTGCCTGTGCATCAAAAGCAGCAGCAACATCAGCAGCAGCCGCAGCAGCAGACATCCATGTCTGCTGGACAGCCGCCGGTACTTGCTAACCTGGCCATGACAAATGGTATGCCTTGGAGAAAGTCACCTTCAGTATCTAGAGAAGCCGCTGACGAAGCCCTCGTAGGCTACCATAGGGCTCTATCGCTCGCACACGTGCCTCCTGCTGTAGCGAATACTGCTACCCCCACTTCCCATTCTATTAGTGCTGTGTATGGAATCCCGCCACGACCAACACCCCAGCAGATGGGTTCTGGTCTGGCACAGCATCAGCAACAACAATATCAGCAACAATACGACAGGAAACCAGAGGGAGGGAACCTCAATCTCGATGGAATGAGTGCCTTGTTGAAGGCTGGCGAGATTGTTGATCGGCGGACGCATTGAAAGGGTTACGTAAGGGGGGGAAAGAAGGGACAGGGAACAGGGGACAATTGGATTGGGGAAGGGAAAGGGAAGCATCTGGAAGCCGGGTTGGTTAAAGCGGCTAGACAAAAAAAAGACAACAACAGCAACATATAATACGCCGTTAAGGCTGACTAGCTGACGGACGGCCGTCAGTCATTTTGAATATCATGATACGGGCCATTGGTCCGGGGCTCGGAGTTTTCAGCATGCATATTCTGCATTTTTAGCATCATTAGTACTATTACTGGATATAAAAAACTGGTTGTATACTGAATGCGATGTACTTACCGCACTGTGATATACACTGTACGCTCTTCGTCATCATGCAAGTCAAGAATTCATCTGAAGTCTTTACCTGATTGGATGATGTATTCGCAATGCTTTGTTACATACACGATTTCTTCGTTTACGATTTGTAATAAACTGTATGGCATGGTTACCTCCAGATCACGTAAATACGTGTTGGTCGAGTGTAACAAAACGAACCATTTCCGACACACCGCGAGTGTGAAAGAATGGATAGATACCTCCCTCGCTCGCCTTTTCAGGACTTCTTGAATCAACCGCCATCCGCCCTCCATTTTCTGACTTCATGATGGACGTGAACTAGTGCAGTGGGTAATCCAGTCCCCAAAAAGTATGTAAAAGGGTACTAAAGTCAATAAACACATACATTTAAGCTCAAGCTTCTAGATGATGTTTTTGTCGAATGCTTTGTCACATGCATAGGTAGAAATGTGGGTCTAGATACGTTTCCTCACTGAAGTAAAGTACCTCATGGTTATATCACAGCAGTCTTCATGGAAACAACAGCTTAATCAGCACTGCAGGGGCAGGCAGGAAATGAAGGACCAGCCAAGATCTTGCTTCTCTTCCTTCTTCTTCGTTCCCTTTCGGAAGAAGAAGAACCGAGTGGTGAATGATCAGTCGAAAACAAAAAATATAATGAAAAATAAAATAAAAAATGGGAAAATAAACCGACCAGTTCCAGAAAGAAGAAGTGACTGGATGGACGGGCGGACAGATGGATGGACACATGGATGCATGGATGGTAGTGTGTGGTATGTGTGGTGTGTGTGGTTTGAGCTGCTGCCTGGGGCGCCTAATGAGAAAGAGAGGGAAAAAAAAAAAAACCAAGAAAAAAAAAGAGCCGAACTGAGACATTCTAGAAACTTGGTTGGATTATCATTACCCAAAGAGGCAAAGAAGTACGAAAGAGAAAAGCGAGAAAAGAGCGAAAGAAAAGCGAGAAGAGAGTGAAGAGGGCAAAAAAAAAAAAAAAAAAAAAAAAAACGACAGCGAGAAAGGAAGGAAGGAATCCTCAAAGGGTAAAGAGTAAGGACGAGCTCTTATCATCATCAAGCAAGAATCACGAGCAGCAGAAGGGGAAGAAGAAGAAGAGGAAGAAGAAGAAAAAGAAGAAGAAAAAGGGGACGCTCAAACAAACAAACTTTGTCGGAAAGGAGCGGCGGAGAGGGAAGACGCTTTGCAAGAGCTGTGGTCACCATGTACCTGCATCCACCTTATATATAATATATATATATATATATATATATATATAGTATCTTTATGTGTCAATTTCAGGCTGGTGTGTAAGACGTCAGGCACATGTCATGCACATGCCGAACTTATCACTTTGCACGAACGTTCGATGATGCTCATTCACATTGATACATTAATGTTCTAGCAAAGTTCAGGTTCGAGTCTGGAGTCCGGCCGGCTTGTGTTGAACTTCAGTTGGGTTGGTACTTGAGTCCAACTGAACTTGGCATGGTCCGTCCCTCTTGCCTTTCTCACGATTGCCTTGGGCAGTGATGGTGATGCCCAGGAGGTATGTGTTTCTGACTCACATGTAGTATTCTAATGTAGTGGCTACTTAAAACGGATGCCGTTACTCATTAATACTAGTTTCTTCTAATGCCAATGCTTTGGTGTCTTGGAAAATGTGGATATTACCGATACCTATCCTTGAGGTTGTTAGTAAAGGGAAGGGGAACGAAGCTTGTCTTATTGGAATAATACCCATTGAAACAGAAAGAACACATCCAACGAGCTCCTCATATTCCCCAAAACATAGAGGACAAAACCATTCCCCTTAGACACACAGAACTACAGCAAGAGTCTAAAGAACAATGTATGTGTATAATCATTCATTCACAGCAACTACACATGTCGATACTACATACGCAGTTCGTGAAGCCCGCGATAATTGCCCGTACACACCCCGTGTGTCTTGAGAATGTGTTCCGAGGTCGTCTGGCTAAAACCTAGATATCAGTGAATTAGCTTACGACTGACTGTGGTAGACCCAACCGCTGCTGCCGCCGCCCGCGTGTGCTTAGGCCTACATACTGGACTTCATGGACTTGGATGATCAATCTGATTGGCGACATGGGAGGTCTAAGACGAGTATCTACCTAAGGAATTGCTCAAGGCGGGAACTCGTGATAGGAACAAAGTGGTGGTGAAGAGGATGACAGTTACGAAAACTGTCCACAGCCGACGAGCTTGTGGGTCTAAATATATGAGAGTGACGTCGAGGATATGTATGGTACGACGTGGATGGAAGTATGGATGGAAGAGAGGATGGCAATCTGTAATAGTGATAAAGACACCTGCAGTGATGATGATGATCTGAAAAAGGAAGGAAACGAGATTTTAACAGAGCAGTGGTAATGGAGCAAAGTGGTGGTGGCATTCACGACAATAAAAGAAGATAAGGTATGATAGTAAAGGGAGTGGATCATAGAATAAAGCAAGGTTAAGAGTCAGACCTGGTAAGCTGTTGTTCAGATATACCTACCTCGGACAATTATTGGACAAGGGAGAATACATGCGGTTAACGTAGTTAGCTTTAGAATTGTTGGTGATATACGCCAAACTATGTCTGAGCCAACAGGCCTTATTGATGACCCCTTTTCCCGGAAGACAAAGTCAACAAACCTTAACCAAGTGAAAGGTTCCGCGTACACACTTCTGATGGACGGGAAAAAGCCAAGAACAGACTGATCGATTCATAGCAACTTTGTGTCTTTCAAAAGAAAAGTCCAAAGACGTCAAGTCACTACCAGCCAGCCGCTGCTCATCCACCAACTCGCCAACGGCGTTCCCTTCAGTCTTGTAGAAAATTCGGAGATTGGTGACCCACGAAATGTCAACGTTGACGACGAAGCGCAAACGGACAGACTGGGTCCAGCAACACTCTGTCCGCGTCAGATCCAGTGGCCGTCGTCTCCGTGATGTATCGCTGGCAAGGGGAATGGGTTCGGAAAGGTGGTTAAAAGAGGAGTGTCCCGGTGCTATATGGCGGTGCATTTGACGAGTCTTCATCACCATCGTTGTCTACCTCCCATCTATCTACCCAACCTACCTTAACCGCCGCACCCACAACAGATATCAAGAATGTGCGTAAAAGACTACCCAATCTACGCCTGCGGAAAAGAATTATTTCCCGGGCCCGCTCCAAGCCGAGAGTACCCCTGCGGCAAAAACTGCAAGAGTTGGGAAATTGGTCGGTACCAGTCTGAGCAGTATTGCATGAGTCCGCGCTGCGACGTTTGTATTCAGAAAATACAGCCCAAGACGGCGAAGTGGACGGATCCGCAGCATTCCCGGTATTATGATTCGTATGGGACTGTTCCTCCTGTGAGTGGTGGTGGTGGTGATGGACAGGTTGATCCGGGGTATGGTGATCCGTCAGGATATGGAGGTTATGGTGGTGGTGGTGGTGGTGGACAAGTTGATCCGGGATACGGAGGCGGTGGTTACGGAGGTGGAGATCCCTCGGGTTATGGTGGTTACGGAGGTGGTGATCCTTCGGGCTCAGGATATGGCGGCGGTGGTAGCGTCCCTCCGAACCCAATGCCGCGTCCAAATCCGAATCCGTTCGCTGGCGACAACCCGCCGCCGCTACCTTCGTGGCTGAGAGATGACGTGGAGAAGAAGGGAAGTAAGAAGAGTAAGGGGAAGAGTCATCGGAAGCATAGGTAAGGATGTTATGGGCAAGGAACATGGGGAGAGAGAAACATGAGAGAGTAAAAGAAGGGCAAAGGGGAGAGAAGAGTGGGTGAGTGAAAGATACTTAGGTGATGGAACTGGAGGTGAAAGGAAAATGAAGGGATTTGTAAAAGAGGAAGAGGGCGGATGGTCAGAAGGGAATGTGCAAAAGTAGGAAACAAGATAGGAAACAGAAGGAAAGGAAGGAAGATGAAAGGAATAAAGATGAGTGGCTACTAGATTCCACATATCAGAATATGTCGCCCACACAGAGTTGACGTTGCTCAACTTGGTACAATATCAAGTCTCTCTCCTCTCTCCATGCATGCATCAACGACACAGAGTCCACATGCACATATGCATATGCATTTGCATTTGCAGTACACGTGCTCATGTTACCACGAAAAAAAAAAAAATGTAAGAACAGCGTTGCAATCAACCTGCTTATACTTGGGTAACTTCGTCACCACACAGAACTAGATTCAGACGCACTTTCCACTTTTCCCTGTCTCCCCTATCTCTTCGATTCCCCCATGTCCGGGATTAACAGACTCCAAGCTAAACGTCACAACCATTCACCTTCATTAGACTTCTTACTCACCTTGTCGACAACCTACCGACGATATCTCACCACAATCGTCGGAGGCGGGCACCCTTGACTGCCACCGCCATACGGTGGGAAAGGTAAAAAGAAGGGTTGACCCAAAAACGGGGCTGGAGGTGCTGACATAGGACGCAACACCGGGTTGTTGTATCCTTGGTAGTAGCCGCTGCCAGTGTTATGATACGGTTGAAGAAAGGGAGGCGACGGCGCCGGATTGTATCCACCATGCACCGGACAAGACACGGACGGCCCCGACGGGGACATCGGAGAAAAGCCGGCATATCCACCGCCGTATCCACCGCCATACCCACCATACGTAGTAGTATCACCACCAGCGGCACCACCGTAACCCATACCCGAGGATGAACCACCACCGGTATAGTTATTACCAGCATGAGCACCATAATTCCACTTCCAATCAGCAATTTTCACTTGGCCTTTGTCAAACATGTTCCGTATTGCTGTTGAGCAGCGAACATTACCGCAGTCTGTTGGGAGCTCGTAGTAACCGGAACCCCAGGAGTGTTCTGGGCAGCTGTTTCCGCAGGACTCGGTGCGGGTGCTTTGGGCAGGGATTTGTTCGTGCCCGCAGGAGTAGACGGGCCAAAGCTTGCGGCACATTGTGACTATGAGTTAGTTCTAACGATGAATTCTGTTGGAGTTGGATTGGGTTAGATGAGGATATAATATTACTGGCGGCGAGGGTCTCAAACGCTTCTTTTAAGTAGGCATGGGAGATTGTCATGGTTGAAGATGCCTGCCTGGCTTTGGACATGATGCATCATCAACCAGTATCAGGTACGTGACATTTGAAATTTCATACTTGCGAAGCGCATGTTCGTTTGTCTTTCCAAGGCATCGGTCAGTGACACACCACTTTGTGGCAAATGTCTGGCTCGGATGCTCTTGTTTAAGGATTCCTAGCAAGTGATGTTGATACAGTTGAGTCGAGATCGAAACAAACAGGGAGCTAGAAGTGCCCCCCAAGACACTCGACAACTACATGATATTCTTCGGTGATGCACGCAAACCAGAAATACATCTGTACTCCATGACTATCTGTCAATTGCGTTCGTCGTTGCTTGCCCGCTTTCTTCATTCATCGTGCAAGCCGATAGCGACACCCCATTGTCATATGAGACTATGATGCTAGCAGGACCAGATCCCACGTTTTATCAGTTGAGCGTGCTCAAATTAACCATTTAGTACTGAAAATACTAAGGTACCTATCTATCCCACCCCGTTGCACGTAGTTCGTCAGATAGATGTACCTACAGCTCTAAATAAACTTATTCTAGTTCCTCAAATTCTCATTATATATTTGTCTACACACGACTATTCACTTTGCAGAGCAGAGGTTAGGTATAGGTACTCTCGGCGTCATTGGCCTAGGTATTACCGATATCGGGTTCCTTTGTACATACAATACATAGGTAAGGTCAGTATGTAGGCATGTGAGGCTATATGTATGTACATAAATAGGTAGTATGGTAGTGACCCCCAACCCCTTTACCCTGGCCTCGATCGCTCGCTCGCTCGCTCACTCGCTTATCAAAAAAAAACCAACTCACCGAGAGTTCACCGTCTCACCGAATGAAACCTACCTTACCTAACCTTCCTTATCTTACCGAGAAACACCCATTTCTTCTCGTTTTTCTTTCCCTTCGAGACTCGTCTTCTCGGCCCGACCCTGGCTAGATCTGATCTCCGAGACTGTCTTTGCTTCCTTCCTTTCGTGTTCCCCCCATTCTCGCACATACATGTAGTCCCCGGTTCTTTCACATGGACCCCCCCTCCCCTCCCCTTCGTCGCTTGCGGTTACGGCGCCAGTGAGAAGACACGACACTCTCAACTCAGACGGACCCTGTTTCTCTCTGTCTCTCGGTGGGGGTACAATGGAGGCTATCTCATCCATGTATGTACTATGTAACCTTAACTGTGGCTTGACTTGACGGGGGAATGATTTCATCGTCGCAATTCGTCTTTCCCCCTGCTTGGTACCTAAAAACCAAAAGCGAACCGCAACCCCAACCCCCGGGGAACATGGGGATGTTATAGCCTCACTTTTCTTTTGCCTCGCATCTTTTTTTTCTCTCTTTGAAACTCCACAGTTCAGCTTAGGGGGTAGTACATATGTATATATAAGTGAAATTCGTGCGTGAGGCTACATAGGTCTCATCCAGGCAGGCATTCATTCTCTTCGTTCCGTCCCTTAGGACATCCGTCTCGAAGTGTCTTGAGTGCCGCCCAGTAAGAACAGGTATGTGGGTAGGTAGGTAAGTGGTATCGTATTCAGAGGGAGGTAGGTGGGTAGTAGGAGTGCTGTTGTTAGTGTCGGCCTAGTGACCCCCCCATCTAGATACCATGTAGACACAGGAGCTGGTCGCATATCTCGACTGCGTTCGTTTCTTAGTTAGTCGACCTGTAGGGATGGCTACCTAAGAACGTATAGTCGCGGAAGCTCCAACTTCAACAAATTCGACCGCTTATACCTAGGGTACCGAACCAGACGCTCTGGGCTCTCATTGTCGTTGTTGAAAACAATAACGACTTTTGGTGAGCAGACAGTGTGATGATCCCCAAGCTTGCGATGCTGACTTCCAACTTAGCAGGTATGTACGAAACTTGAACTCCCACTCGTGACTGTCAGTTTGTACACTACATAGTTATGTATGACCCTACACTACCGTCTAGGTATATAATCGATTAAGAACCAAACGCATGTATGTACTGCGTAGGTTTTTATCCGGCCCGGATTCCCGATAAGTAGGTATCGATCCATATCATACCGAGAGCGAGCCAGCTGTCCTCGACAACCAACTTCCGTTCGTTCGTATTCGAACCACAAGTCAAGAAAAAACCCAAAAAAAAAAAAAAAAAAAAAAAAAAAAAAAAAAAAAAAAAAAAAAAAAAAACCTGGGGTTCCCCGGCGGCCCCCCCTTCCCCTTCTGGGTCCCGAATGCTCCGCCAGATGGCTTGGCAAACCTGAATGGGTTAATATGTAAAAAAAACATCGATGGCGAGTTGGATACCTATCCTATCCTATCCTATGCTATGCGAGAAGGGTTCAACAACCGTTTTCACTTCTTTTTTCTTTTCTTTTCTTTCTTTCCTTTTTGCCCTGTTCTGTTTGTTTTTTCCCCTTCCATTGATACCTCCTTGCTCCTTCCCTTCACAGCCTTGACATGGCGGATTTTCTAATATCTGTCCTCCCGCCGAAAGATCATTATAACGAATTCGTTTCTTGCGCGCGCACGCTTCCTTCTTCTCTCTTTATACGCACTACACTACACTACACTACACTACACTACATACTCCTCCGTCTTCTAGACTACACTACTAATTTCATAGTCAAAAAATACTGTCCCCTTCCTCCACATATCCAACATGGTAAGGGGGGACAGTATTTTTTGACTATGACTGTAGTAGCCCTTGGCGTTATGATCTTACTTACATATCAGACCACCCACGTTACACAAGATGAGTGAGCTTGGCGCACTACACGACACGACACTGTGTGAAGCACCCCAGTAACTACTCTTCTTCGTTGTTGCCAAGATGCCCCAAGATTGAAAGCGTTCCTTTTTCGGTCTTCGTTCATTGATGTATGGGTGATGAATGCGGTAAGGAGGCCACGTGAGCATTTCCCTCAGTGAATGATCCGAGATACATTGCTAGCTAGCTAGCTAGGTATCCCAATAGCATCATCTTGGTTTGTTTCTGTCAACAGTTTCTACGTCTAGCGCCTACCTATGTACCAACCCCTATAGTATCCTCTCTAACTTTTCTACATACCCGCATGCCATGCCATGCTGCCGCTACAGGACGAAACGAACTCCATCGAGCCATTGTTGGACATCCAAGCATGCATGTATGTAGTGACATACACTAAGGAAGCGGCCCTGGCTCCGGATGATGTGACCGATATCAGATCAAGATCAGCACTGACGAGAAGGGAGAATAAAATTAATAATAATAATAATTTTGTAAAAAAAAAAACAAAAAAAAAAAAAAAGTGTGACAGCCAAGACAAGCAAAAAAAAGGAGAAACGTGAAAAAAATCAAAATATGTGCCTACACACGGTACTGTAGTTTGGATCGGAGACTTCTTTGAGCCTCCCGCGGCAGGCACCCCCGGCATCCCGATTCCTGTGACACTACACTAGACACATTCTGGTTTGCTCCGGCTCTGAGAAACCCCCTTGATCGCTTTGATTCCTTGCTCTGCTGAGGGTTGGCAAGGAAGGAAAAAAAAAAAAAAAAAGATTGGTCGCTTGGGTGTTTAGGTCCCTTGTGTGAGCGAGTTACTGGGTGGGGTTGGATGTTTACTAAGAGGTTGCCAAATACACAATGTTTGGGTTGGCTTGGCATTGTGATAGGGGTCTCTGCACTAGCGTCCGCGAGTCCGTTGTTTCACTAACTGGGGCGGATCTGTTTCCTGTGAGTGGTGGTTGCATGTGCAACGTTAAAACGGTGATAGTATAGGGCTATGTATTTCCCAGCGAGCCCACACTGCGAGCTTCAATTCGCCACTTTCAGGGTGTCGATATGGTGGCCGCAGAGAGGAAAGAGACGGTTTTGGTTCGGTTTGCCAGACCATGTGGAATGTGGAGAGGTTAGTGAAGGGTGTGTGCTGGGACTAGAGAACCAATAACGTTGCCGGTATCCGGCTGAACGAGCATAGAAAAATATGAAATCAAGGCTTGGCGCTTGATTGATCGCGGGAAATAGCTCGAGCGTTGTGTTTTCTTCTTGGACAATACCACAAGCCGTAACCCTTGAACAACCACACCCACTTGGTGTGTTTGGGCACGCGAGGCAGAGGAGACAAGGGTGCATGTTAGCTTCCAGGGTCTTTGAGAAGCTCGAAAAGGGAAACTAGAGACAAAGCGAGGAACATATCCGGTTGGGCCCATCTGGGCATTCGCGTAGTGTTAGCGATTCGAGGCTGGATTTGTCCAGCCACAAGCTGCTTTTTTGTCTTCTTTCCCTTTGGCCTCATTCGGTTCTTACATTTGCTGCCCGGCCAAATACAGGCAAGATCGGACATTCGGGAGGTAACCAACACACCAGACAGATGAGTGGATGTGGATGACAATGTTTCTTGATACAGCCATGTTGGCTTGGGTTAAGTGAAGGCGTGTCGCTCTTGTGCCTTAATCACAAGATAAAACAGACGAACGGCCTTATCGCAATTTGTCGATCACCTCGGCTGTCGATAATTGAAGTGGCCTTTGGTTTTTTTTTTTTTTTTTTTTTTTTTTTTTTTTTTTTTTTTTTTTTTTGGTCCCCTGTGCTCCCTTTCACCCACGCGCTATTCGACTGACAAGTGAACAAAAGGGGATAAAGAGAGCAAAAGAGGTCGAGTCTGGATTCGGGGATCGACATTCGCCACCTGACCGCTTTTCAGGGTCCTGGGGATAGGACTTCTAAGGGTTCTGGAAGGCCTCAAGTGCGAATACGTACTGTGTCCCTGGTGTTGTTGTCTGCGAGTCGGCGTTGAGTTGCCAGCCTCCATTCGGATGTCAAGCCGTTTCGTAGCAGCTGGTAAACAGCAAGCGAAACCAATCCGCAAGATTGTGCAGTCACGTGAGAGATAACCAAGCCTTCCGATACTGCACAGGTAGGGGATCCCCATCAGTGCCCGCCTATGTCAGCTCAGATCCACGATTTCGTCTTG